CCCCTCCCCCCCCCCCGGGGGAGGCCTTAAAGCTGGACCCTCCGCGCTGGGGAGGTTCGCCCCCAAAGTCTTGGTCGGCCACCTGAAGATCTTTGTCCTGCCCCACATCGCACGGGGAGGGCCCCTCTGTCCTCCGGCTCCCCATCGGGCGTCTTCTGCAAGGAGAGCTGTTCCCCGCAAGGAGAAAGGTAGCTCTGAAATCTTCCCTTGAAAGTCCTTGCTGGATCATTTGCAGAAGTCTGACTTTGATGGGCTGCTCAGGGAAGGGCCAATAAACCTCTCCCGGTTCTTCAAGGAATGGTCCCTTTGGGGCTTTTCCTTCTGGCTCTTTCAAAGAGTTTTGTTGCTGATCCTCCTGGAGAAAGATCGTCCTGCAGAAAATCTATGTATTTGCTGAGAGTTGACACAGACTTGATGACAAGTAATCAATTAAAAAAGCAAAGAACAGAATCTTGACAGCCTGGCAGTGTTTTCCCTTCCCACTGTTTTCTATGGAAGGGAGTCCAGGCAGAGTCAGTGTAAGTTTCTTTCAAATGCTTATTGCTTTCCCGGACTTGTGTTTTGCGATCTGCTGCATTCCTTCAGGAAGGCCCTCCCTGTGGTTCTCTACAGGGTGATTTTGGGCCGCACACCCTGTCTAAGGAAGAAGAAAAAAGCACAGAACTTCTGGAAATTTTGCCAAAAATATTTGTCTGGACAATCACCAGGAATTCAGCCTGACCCAAAGAGGGAGGCTGGGAAGGAGGGAGGGAGGAAGGAAGGAAGGAAGATGCAACACAGATTTTGAATGGAAGTCGCTGAGCCCAGCAAGATATTCTCCCCACCAGGCCTCTGAAAGGCCGACAACCCTGGCCTGAGCAAAGCAGCCCTTCCCTCTGTAACCGGCTTTCTAAAGGTACACTGCTTCTGAACGTGGAAGCTCCATCTAGCCACCAAGAGGCATATCCTTCCTTAGGAATTGGCCCTTTTTAAAGTCTCATCTTTCCTGATGGATGGAACAGTTTCAAAAACAAATTTATAAGATGTATCTTTTTCTTCAGAAAAGTTTTCCATGTTTAACACACAACTTTTCAGGACATTAATTAGTATCCTGATGAACAAATGAAAGGCAAGGCAAACAGGTCAACTGGATTATATATCACATGATTATTTAAAGTCAGACTTGCCATTTTTTCTCCAGCCATACCCACTACTAAGCTCTTATCCTTATGCCGTTATTAAAAGGAGGATCTTGAAAGGTGTTCAGCATCTGCACCATTTTACTTAAAATGTATGCAGATTTTACAGGGTATGTCCAAATATTTATAAGGTTTCTGATTGGAGGGGGGGGGCAACTCCTATGACCATTTTTGAATTTACACCCCACTGAGGGTTCTGCATGGTACTGCTTTCTTAGTCTCAAATCAGCAGATTGAAATCTTCCCAGGAGTTGTCGTAGCCTAAAATCATTGCACCAACACTATTGGAAAACGAGCCAGGCAGAGGAAAAATCATGGCTTACTCCAGCAGGATTGTCCCTTTCCCATGGTCCTCACAGAGCGGCCTGCCACCAGCCATTTTCTGTAGCGCATCCGGATCAATTCTTCATTGGGTGCTTAAGCTTGCTTCTTTCCTCCTCCCTCCCCATTCTTTTTCTTCTCAGGTTACAGCTCTGGGTTTGGAACCTGAAGCAGCAAAGCATCTGCTAATTCTGCGACTCTTCAAGAGCTGTTCTGAAAGGAGACATGGGTGAAAAGGCCCCCAATAAAACAAGCTTCCTGAACTGGAAACTGGAAAGCAAGTCACAGGTTGACCTGACCACAAAGTGGTGCTTAAAAATGAGTTTGTATAAAAATCATCTGGGTTGGAGCGGGAAAAACCACCTGGCTCACATTTCCCAGTCAGCATCCCATTTGGGGGCGCAGAGCCCTAGCACGACTGCAAAGCATTGCCCTG